TTCTCTCATGGAGCTCCTCACCTCTCAGGAGCTAGTATAAGTGTTCTTAGCACTTACGACATGATAACGCAACTTTTAAGATGAGATTATAGCAAAAGAAAAGAATACTATACACACTATTATATACCAATATTAATACCTGTACTAACATAGCTTATTTTACATAAAAGAAAATGAATGCAGTTTTTAAAATCTAAATTCAATCTAGAGAATGAAATCCAAATTTAATCTATAACCAAAAAAAAAACAAACCCAAAACAAAATAAAACAAGGTTTCAAGAGTAATGCAGCATAAAAAAGTTTTTAACATTCTATTTCCTGGGAATATTTTACGTAAATCATTCTAAACACTGAATAATGCTTTAAACACTTTATACAGATATAATACTATGTTTTTATTAATTATAGTTTTTTAGGCCTCTTTTTCTTATGAATCATTCACAACTGTTATTAGTCTAGTTGCTGCCTTCTCCTAAAATTTTGGTAGTTTTTTGATTGAGTAATATTCAGATTTTTTTGGCCGAAGGCAGGCTCCATAAAGTAATACTTAAGATTAAATATTGAAAAGTAGCCTTCTCAAACACCAAACTGTCCATTGTTTTCAACTCATAAACTGCGATGGTTAAATAAGCTTTTCATCCTCCTCATTATATAATCATTCCTAATTATCCCCATTCTGTCTCCTGCTGAGGGTGTGTTCTGTACCCACAACCACATCCATACCACCATGTCTCCAGAGTCCAAGGGGAAAATAGCCTTCTTAACCTCTACCTCACACAAAGCCCTACATCCCTCAATAGAAAAAGCTGAGTTAGTGTTTGTGCCTAGTGCGTAAGGAAGATGGTCTTTTACCACTCCTCACTCTGTAAAATTACCAAGGACTATCCTTTAAGGGAGTTCTCCATAGAGTGAAAAGCAGTAGACTTCTATAGAGAGGTACCTTCCAGATGCAAAGTGCTGATAGCCAGTTGATAACAAAGAATTTAGATACCATCTAAAGCTCCAAGACCTTACATTACAGTGTAATTCCCCAGTATGCTCTTTTATGGATCTTATTATAATATCCTTCAGATTTTGATATAATAAAGAGTAGGGCAGGGCTGGCCGAGTGGCTCAGTTGGTTAAGAGCTCGCTCAAGAGTTTGAGCTCTGAGCAACAGCGGTTCGAGTCCAGCCCGAGCTGAGCAGCCACTGAGCTGCCAACAGGTAGCAGGATGGCTCAGCTTAAAAAAAAAAAAAAAAAAAAAAAGAGTAGGGCACTGAGGAATCTAAGGCCTTGAAGACAGAGATATTCACATGCATGTCAAAACCCATAAATTTTCTTGTGGTCCCATACTGTCCACCGATAGTAACAACTTCAATTAAGCAACTATATTATTTCTGATATAAATGCATTCTAATTAACCTTCAAAGTTAAGTAAGCTAAAAAAATCACACGTTTAGGTTTATTTGGATCATTTTCATTAATATAGTTAAATGTGAACTCATTGAGGATAGGAACCTTGGCTTATTAGTGTATTTATCTCCTGTGCCTAGAATAATACCTGGCACTCAGTAGGTATTTGATGAATATTTGAGGAATGGATGGATGGATAGCTGTAAAATAAAATGTAAGTCTTTTCAATATTTAAGGACAAAACAGATGCATAATTAGATACAAATGAGATTGGCTCGGTTTATTTTTTTTCATTTTAATGTTCCTGTAAGCAAGTTATTTGTTAAGTGACATAGTGCTATAATGTGTTAGGATAAACTACTATTACTAACATAATATACGATTAAACAATCTACATTATAAGTATTTTTTTAGTAACTTGGGATGGCTTTATATATTCCTTGATTTATATATGATGTCAAAAGTTTAAACATTTGGGTGTGACCAGTTAGAGCGTGGTGCTGATAACACTAAGGTTGCCAGTTTGATCCCCACATGGGCCACTGTGAGCTGCACCCTCCTTAAAAGAGTCAATTATGCCATTGTAGCATGAAAGCAATGTTTAAAAAAAAAAAAGTTTCAACATTTATCAAGCCTGCTATGTGCCAGGCTCTATGTTTATCAAAATTGTGATTTTTGTTTATTGACTATGTTTGAATCCCACAAGACAAGAACACATCTTGTTCATTAAGCTAGCACCTATCTCAAGGCCTGCCAGTATATTGTGATATATTGTCAATAAATATTTGTTGAACAAATAAATGTATGAAATACAATGAATAGGACAAGTTTTTGCTTTCGAGTAATAATAGTCTAGGGGGAGGAAGATTGACAATATGGGAAGTGCTTTATATAGATGCTGTTAAAGCCAGGTGCTATGGAATAATTAGCTGTTAAAAATAAAAAGAATGTGAGAACTATTAGAGGCTTAGAAGGCCTAGCTACACAGTAGATAGGCAATTTGAATGGTATCCGAAGCGGGGCGGAGGGGAAGAATAGAAGTAACAACAGTAGGTGAAGAGCCCAGAAATGAGTCCCTTTGGAGATAGTTGGAAGAGAATAAACGGGGTCAAATACAATATATGGTGATGGAAGGAGAACTGACTCTGGGTGGTGAACACACAATGTGGTATATAGATGATGTATTATAGAATTATACACTTGAAATTTTATACACTGTGTAATTGTACTAACCATTGTCACCCCAATAAATTTTAATAAAAAAAAAAAAGAAGATAGTTGGAAAGCAGGGATCTGTGCATTGCCCAAATCATAAAAGAGACTACTATAAAACTTGAGAACCAGGTAAGTCTATTAGCCTAAAAAACAAAACTAGTATCTTCAGGTAGACTTGTGTGGCATGAACAAGCTACATCCTAACTGAGCAAATGTGGCAATAAGAGGAAGAAGGCCAGTGAGCGAGTGACTCCTCAAACACTCCTTCCCCCAGCTCGCAGTATCCACAGGTATTACAAAATGAGTAACATAGTTATTCATTGATATTCCTTAAAACAATTAACATATTTTCCCTTGACTTACCCAATACTCTATCCCCATGGTGCCTGATTTATACAAAGGTGATTTAGACACTCCTAAGAGTAGAAGTTGATAAAGGCCAGTAGAAGACTGGCCAGAAAATTAGAGGCCTAAAAACCTAGATTGTAGTTCCAGCCTTGTCACTGACCTCGCTGTTTAACCTGGAGAATTTGTCATTTGGGGGCCGTATTTTCTCATCTTATTAACAGAGTGTTTGACTCTAAAAAGTTTCTCTTACTCTAAAATGGTATCATTCTGCCAGTGTTAACCATTTTTATAATCTGGCATAAGCTTAAAAACATTTTAATAAACGTCTCCATTTTTTCAAGGTGGAGAGACTTTGGAATCTGAGGACAGGAATGAGGTGAGGATCAGGAATTGAGTGAGACATGGCCACTAAATAGGAATAAGGCTGACGTTTGCCTTCCAGACTCAAACACATTTTACAATGTTGAGTAGGCGTATCAATAGGCAGAATGGAGCTTAAATTTTTATTCTGTTTTATTAACAAGAAGAAAAGTGTTCTTTAATCATTTATTTTGATCTAACATAAATCCAACCAAGAATCTTAGATGCAATCACACCTTTAAATATAATGTCATTTTGTCTGCAATATAAGTAAATTTCCCAGCATTGAGGGGGAAGGAAAACTCCTTTACTGAGAAATCAAATTGAGTATAAATAAATCTAGCTCTGTACAACTATAATTACCTCAGTCATTTGGACCTTTAACTTGATTTACCTTATAAAGGTTTTAGGGCTTAAAATAATTATGTAATTGCCCAACTGTCCATTTTATTCTGCACTGTTGAGATCCACTAAGCATTTCCCCACCAAGCTGTTGCTCTATGATTGACAAGGAAACCTTTGCTAGTTCCCTTGAAGGATGACTAGTTACTCAATGTGGATTAATCAGATATACGTTTATTTCACTTGAGGAATATTGGCATAAGGGTAATTCAGAGAATTATTGCCACCTGATATATTGCCCTATGTGGGGCATTTTTTTTAAATCCACAAGTCACTGTAATTATATTAGGCTACTTATATGATAAGAGGAGACCAGCTCCCACATTGAATTTTGGCACAGCTAGTGTTTCTCCTTGCCAAAAAGGGCAAAAGGCCTTGAGCAAGAAGCCAGCTTTTCCCTGATTACAAAACTGACCACATTCCTTGCCAACCTATCAGTCTAAGTCTATTTTTTTCTGGCAATGCATTTTTCTTTTCAGAGAGAACTCCACTTTTTTCATTATGACAGGGCATGTGTCATTGACACATCAATCAATGCAACATTGCTGCATTGCTATTGATGGATAAACTAATCAAGTTTTAAAAAAAGCAAACCCTGATACACATAAAATCGAAATCATATCAGGCCCTACCATCAGTCTCTCAACTTATAATTTTATAGAATTTGGATAGCAGTCAATGTCACATGGGGCTTTGTAAAGTAGTAGAGTGAATACCTTAGAATATAACATTTCAGTAGAATCCCTATAGCAAATTTTAAAATATGAATACGTGTTGGAAGTCAAAATTTTCTTCAGATAATATGATTAGAGATGCAACCAGGGGTGGGCAGTGAGGAAAAAAAACTTTGTCCAAGTAAGTTTATCTGTGTTTCATAACCCAGAGATTTAAAGTTTTCCATTTAAGAAGCAATTGAATATTGAACAATCTCTTTGCTCTGATAGTTCTAAATACTGCACAGCTCGCTCCTCTCACAAGACACTAAACATGTGGGTCACTGGCGAGACAGTGTGGCAATGTTTTCCTTGTAATGTACCAAGTCTTGCCAAAGCAGTGAACAACATTATGACACAACATTTTGTCACAGCTGGCTCTCTAACAGAAGAGTGCCAGCCAATTCAGGCCTGGTTCTTTGTGTGTTTATTCCCACCTCTCCCAAATATTTGGAAACTGATGTCTTGACTCATTGGTGTGTTCACAAGTCCTACCACTGCAAGTCTTTTTCTTTTAACGGGTTGGTCTTTTGCAAGAAATAGACAAAATATCAATGTGAATTACAGCAAATCCCTATTCCATGCTGTTATGGGTGAAACTCTGGGAGATTCTCTTATTGACCCAGAAAGTGATTCCTTCGCCGATACACTGTCTGCAAGCACTTCACAAGGTAAAGTCCATTCTAGCTACGGCTGTTGGGATGCTTTGGGCATTTATGGAAGGTTAAAATTGCTCTTGTTTGTTTTCTGAATGATATTTGTTCTACAACTGTTATGTGTATAGTCCAGTATTTTAATACTTAGTGTATTGCTAAGTTTATTGCTATAGTGCTCACTTATAAGCATATTCAGAACTTTAAAAAAAGAAACCTAATCTCACCCATATTTTATGTCTGTGCATGGCTTGCATTTCCTGAACTTTAAGCGTTAAAGGTAGATTTATATTTAAAAGGCCTATTCATTTTTGTTTCCTGGATTTATATCTGTTTGCCAAAAATACTTAAGGTCTTTTTATAATACCTGAAAGGTCGCTTTTTCCCCTTTAGTCATACGTTTGATTTCGTTCATAGCAGTTCTTATCCCTCTTACAGCATTTTTATTCTTCTTAAAGCCCTGTCGGCATGTTTTTGTTCTACTTTGAGATCAAGACATTTGTATGTACATTTTAATCTCTCCCAAAGAATTGTAAGCTTCCAGAGTATAGGAACAAGTTAAATGCTTCTTTCTATTTCTTAGGATACCTGGCATAGTGCCTAATGTATTGTAGAATAGCTTGTGGGGACCTTGGAAAATGTCTATTCTAAGCATCTCGTTTTACACATAAAGAAAATGAGGTCCCTAAATGTCGACGGCTTGCTAAATAAATGATTAAATATTACTTTTACTCAGATATGTAAGATGCAGATACCTCATTTTTCAACATTTCTTTCTTGGCCATTGAAAAATACAAGTTCTTCATTTCTACAGCTCCTTCTACTGGAGTTTCTTAGCACAGCTTTTTCTGTTTTGTACTATTTTGTATTTATTTCTATATTTCTATTTCTTTTAGTTTTTTTTTCTCATAAATGCCACATAAAACTAGATTGTGTTAAATAGTGTGATTAATGTTTTCTAATATAAGTGCTAAAACATTAAAATTAAGTCACTTAATTCTTGAAATAGATGGCTTTACATTTTAATGTTTTAATTTTTGTGAAGCCTGAAGTTTGCATGTATTAATCACAGCTTTTTAGAACATAAAGCTTTTTTAAAATTAATAAAGAATCTTTCCAGAAATACGATTTCATTTTACTGAGATTTGCTCAATGTATATTTCAATCATCTGAGCCTCTCTTAAATAGGAGTTTAGATTCAGTATATGATATAAAAGTCTGTTATTCTATTTTTCTGCAAGCCATAAAAATTATTGCTATCTTTCTCCAGTTATTAATTTAGCTGGCATAAGGGAAGAATGCCCTAGATATACTCTGAAATAGTCCTTGTTTCAAAATTTGATAGTTTTGCCTGTTTGAAAAGATATGTTCAGAGTGCAGTGCAACAAATATTTTAGGTTAACTGGGGGACACGTACTGTTGATGTTACGGGACAGTTGTGTGACTCAGGTTAGTTTTCCTTCTGTACTAATCTCTTCATTTTTGTGCCTTGAATTTGCCCTGGATTTAATTCTTTGGGGTCTTGAATCGTCTCCAAAAGAATAACTCAGCCCTTTTCTCCCTAATTAACATGGTACAGAATAGAATTATTAGCAATTAAATTATATGTTGTACCAATAATTTCACTCTTGTCTTGTATGTTCTCTGATTACTTCATATTCATAAGGGTTGTTTTTCTGTTAAAAATATGAGCTTCTAAAGGCCAAAGACTTATGGCTGTTAACGTCTGTTGTATTTTATAGATGACCACGCAACACTTGCTTCACCCTTGCGAAAACAAACAGACAAACTTGAAAATAAACTGGGAATATGATCATCATTAGCTAGTTGGGGCCAGCAGAGATGAAACACTGGAGAGATTAGGTATCTGTCCTAGGTAATTATTTAGGTGCTCCTTCCTCATCATAGGCAAAGTGGAATTGGAGGTTGTTGCAAGTAGCCAGATGCTGCTATTGAAGGAAAAATGGCTCGTTGAGTGTGAATTATCCAGATGCCCAGCAATATTGGTCTTATTCATGGGATTAAAAACTCTCCATAGCCACTATACCCTAAGAGGACTTCTCTGCTTTTTCCTGGGCTCCATGATCACTGTGACCCACTTATTCCCCTATGTGTTTTCCTCATGAGCTTCTCAAGCAACCCCAAGTAACCCCATGCTGGCTTCGAAACCATTTCCACTAGTAAAAATTGGCAAGGTCGAAGGGAAGCTTCCACAAACTCAAGCTGAATGTGCCTCCTGCTTTTAGTGCCAGACTTAGTCCTGTGTGAATTCTCTAATTTTAAGTTGTTGCACCAGAGCATTGAAAGATGATGACATGCTTGTCCTTTGGAGCTGATTGAGCAATGGAAATATGCCTTGGAGACATGATAAATGCTGCAATAGATGATTCTTGAAACGAGAGTCTCTCCTGAGATAGGAGTGCATGATTGATTGCCCATCATTTTTATTCAAGGAGACTTAAACTGTGTCTGTGTGACTCCAGGCAACGGGATATTTGGAAGCATTTAGGTAGTTGATCGAAGTGTTCACCTTTCCAGAAGTTTGAAGGGAGTATCATGGGATGCAACCACCAATCTTGTCTTGGCCACGTACTTTCTGTGTGAGCTTGAGCAAGTCACTTATCCTGTCTGCCCTCCATTTCCGCATATATTAACAGAAAATACAGACTTATTGTGAGAATTAAGTGATAGAATATTTGTGAAAGTACATCTGAGGCCCTATATAGAGTTTATTGTTTTGACCTTGTAGTATTAATCACTTATGGCTAGAGTAGAAGACATATAATCTTCCTAAATTCCTAGATTTGAAATATTTTAAGGAATATGGGGGTAGGGAACTGCAGAATTCTTTATGCACCAACATAAGTGGCAGTTTTGAGTGAGATGAGGCTTCTGCATGACCTCCCATGAATGTATTGGTAAGGAAATGATCATGTCTGATTTTTTTAAATGAAGGAATTATCTCCCACTTTCACTAACATTTGTCTGTGAAAAGATTGATTTTATTAACCAATGTCACCACAATAAATTTAATTAAAAATTAATTAATTAAAACAATTTTTAAAGGTTGAATTTCTAAAAGCTGAAATCACTCTTTGGTCCTAAATCAGAGTGATGATTATGTTTGCTTCTCATTGAAATACTGTTTTAGATTATAATGTTCTCTGTATGATAGAGATTTAGGTTACTGATACAGCTCTGAATTTCATAATCTCACATGTAATAATAACAACTCAGGGCCCTTTTCTAGAATTTTACTATTGTCCATATTAATTTTTTCCTTAGTATAGCTCTAGTTTTATCATTTATTTCTGATTTAACTGTTCAAATCTCTTTTCTGATCACTAGGACCTAGTAGATTTAGTAGATTTGTAGACTCTGAGAATCTCCTTACTGTGTATCCAAAAACTGTCATTTCTCTTGTACTTTCCCCCAAACTATGCATTCCATGAAACACTCAAAACAAATGTCATTTATATGAGATGCTTATAAGAAAACACAGCATTTAAAAAATTTTTAATTTCCCCAAGCAGCCCTGAGGAATACAACCTGTCTTGAAAGCTACTGGACAGCAAGTATCCATTTAAACTGTTAATTGCCGTGTAAAACATGTCATTAAATGAAAAACAATGTTTATACCTCTGATAGAGATTGTCATAAATTACTCTTTGTCAGCATTCTCACTTATAACTTGAAAACAATAACTTTAAGAAAATTCTGAAATCATCTTAGCTCTTTGTAAGGTACATAGTCTTTGCATCAGAGGAAATCCGAGCAAAGTAAATTTCTTCATTGTTTTAGATCAACATAGTTGACACAAAGTTTCTGTTATTTTAGCTTCCTGTGGACACCCTTAAATTAGAAATTTGAAAGTTGTCCAGCACATGCCTCCTGTCCATCTACTAGTGTTGAATAATTGCAAAAATATGTGATAGCGGATGAATCAGACTCATTTGAATGGAACTAAGTTTCTATTAACTTCTACCAGATTACCCTTTTTTGTAGACACAGTTTTGCACCTGTAATGAATTTAGAGATGTAGAAATTGCACATGTATCTGATAGCAACTGCAATCCAACTCTTATAACCTCAGCATTAAAGTCACGTGGATGTTTGAGTATACAGTTTTTTAGACCCGTGGAATTTTTATTGGAGTAAGGGATTGGCAACTCAAGACTGCAGTTCCCACAGTGGTGAATGGTTTGCATTATAAAGTAGATTTAAAACAGTCAACTGTCAATTACCTACATGTGAATTATCCCTTGTTACCTCATGCCAGGATTTCTATACAGCCTTTGAGCTGACCTTCTAAATGAGTAATCTAGCCAGCCAATCCAATCTGCCAGATAAGTGGCCCTAAAACCCTGGCTTTATTACCAGTCTCCTTGTATGTACTGAGCACGTTCTATATACAAGGCACCATAGTGAACATTGTGAAGTCTAAACACTTTTGTCTGGCTTTCAAAGCTCTTTATATGCTGGTTCCACTTTATGTATCTTATTTCCCTACAAACCCAGAGATTGGCCTGCCTTACTCTAATAGGACTAATCTCATTGTCCCGAGAGGATGCCATATTTACTGTGACCTCCAAGCACATCCTGAAATGTCTTTCCTAATTCTTCCACCTTTTCAAATCCTCCCTGTCCTTCAAGGTCAGGTTCAAGTAACGTCGAAGCCACGAGGCATTCTCTGAATACATTCCTGTTAATTGCCGACCCTTTCCTCTAAACTGAAAATATGTTCAGAATATATATCCTCTCCCTCCTCCCCTGCCACTACCCTGATCCAAGCCACCATGCCTGGCCTATCCCAGTCTCCTGACAGGTTTTCCTGCCTCTACCCTTACCTTCCAACAGCCTACTCTTAACCCATCATCCAGAGGGACCATGGGAAAATAAGTCAGATCTGTCACTCTGCTCAAAGCCCTGTAGTTGGCTCCCCACTTTGCTTATAACAAAAGCCCCACTCAGCCGCGCACTCCCACCCCACCTGGTCCCCCTCTGGGTCCCCTCTCCTA